GAGAGAGGGAGACACAGAATCGGAAACAGGCTCCAGGCTCCGAGCCATCAGCCCAGAGCCTGACGCGGGGCTCGAACTCACGGACCGCGAGATCGTGACCTGGCTGAAGTCGGACGTTTAACCGACTGCGCCACCCAGGCGCCCCGTCTGGTGCATTTTTCTACATAGAGTAGATATATGCTAAATGTTTGAATTGAATAACAAAGTATTTTTAGCCTGTGCTCTCCGTGATAAATAATTACCAAACACTACTCCATAATGTTTTTGACAAAGAGAAGCAATGCTTTCTTTTTTTATATATAAATCTTCAAATATCTCATGATTTGATAACATCTTTTTTGCTCTGCTAAATCAAGTGGGTTTTTTTTGTCTACTTAATAGTTTACACATGTGATCTTAGTGAAAGGGTCTACCCCAGTTGTTAGCCATTTATTTAGAACATGAATTTTCATGCTAATCATTTAGATATATCAAAACACAGAAAACGTTAGTGGCAATGATTTAGAGTTTTCTGTTTCTCTAGTATATGAGCACTGGTGAAAGTTTAAAGTGGGATCTGGTATTCCAGAGAGAAAAGAAGCAAGTCAGTCAGTGCACATCCTCCCATTAGAAAGAAATGAATTCAAGAAACATTCACAAAGCCATTCTCCAGCTCTGTCCCCCTGAGAAGGCCATGCCCAATAGAAGCTCATTCATTAAGCTTTCCAGAAAACCAGAGGCACCCTTTCTACCTCAGTGCTTCTAAAGCACTGAACATCATTCACACCGTATATATTATGTCTTCCCCTGCCCAATGGTCATTCATGGATATCTCAACACCTCTTACCGGACTCTAAACTCCTAAAATTAGGGACCAGGTGTTTTCCATGTTTGTGTTTCTTACAATGCCCATGATGTTACCTGGCACACAAAACGTGTAGATAAACCTGGGATAAATGAGGGATTAAAGACAGTAAATCAATTTTGTTGAATTACAGGTATGAGGTAAGAGTTTTCAATCTCATTTATCCAAACCACAAGGTAGCCTTCATTTCTAGAAAAACTGTCACATCATAGAGAAGCAAAGAATGGTCCTGTGAGCATGGATACTGAGAGGAAATAATTTTCCTGCTCTTTAGCTTAGGTAGACAGAACAGGGAGGTTGCTGAGAGCAGGTGTGAATTGTGTGTAAAGCACTTAAATAGCCCATGCTTTAGTTTCATCTTCTATAATTGTGGGCTAAATTTCTATCTACCTTATAGGGTTGTAGTGAAGATTGAATTACTTAATATGTGTAAAAGCATCTAGTGTAGGACACATGGTAAATAATCAATTAATGGTATTTAATTGTTCTAATCCTTTCTTTCTGTCTCACAAAGATAAAGGATCCTGGGAGTCTGTTTTTCAGAAACACGTGGTTCTAGAAAATAAAACCAGAGCATAAAGTGTATAGTAAATATTAATGTGCATGCTTGACATGAGTAACAAATACACGCTGTGTACTTCTGTGAGATGGGCTGGATAATAAGAGTGGATAGTAGAAAATCTGAAAGAGGACTCCTCAGCATTATCAGTTTCCATTCAGGTTCTGCTACTTGTCGGTTGTTTGAACTTAGATATCTATTCGAACAGACCACTCTGGGAAAACAAACACCAATATCTTATCCCATTGAACAGACAGAGGAGCTCTTCTGCTTGACTTGCCACCTGAAGATAAATAACTGGCCTTTAATCGATGGAACACAATTACTGCGGCATCTGAGAATTCAAATGCCAAGTGTCCATTACACAGAGCTTGTACAATTATCAAGTATAATTACATACAACCAGCCCATACAAAATTGCCCACACTGTGTGTTGCTTCTATTCGTATCTTCTCAAAACTTTACTCAAAACATACTCTTGACACTTAAGAGTATGATTGATGAAAGGCAAGAAAACAAAGTAAGTTGCCTTTAACTGTGATGTGACAATGAAACTAAAATGTGTACGCAACAACCCAGCAACTAAACATGCATCAAGAAATGGAAAAATACATTGGGAAAATATATGCCAAGCTATTTATTATCTCTGGTGGTAAAAACTACTGATTCTAAATGTGTTCTGTTGAACCACACAAAACTTAGAAATGTATAGAATTGCCCTCTCCTAGCATTCTATGGAGGGAAGTAAACAGGAAAGACTTGATTAAAAAAAAGTAGTTCCTGAGCTTTAGGAAGCAGATGTGTCATGAGGTCTTAGAGTTTCATGTTCTTAGCTGAATAGGCGAGGTGGAAAATACTGAGGGTGGGAGATTCTTATTAAAATCCAAACAAAGAGCAAGGATTACAGAGAAATCAACAACCTATGATACATTTCAAAGTAAAAAGTAAACAGACTTAATAACAGAATAGAGTTGGGGAATAATTTTTAGGAAACATGAAGACATAAGATCTAGGATGTTGGCCTTGGAGATGAGAGAAAATTGTAAACTGAGACACATATATTTGTAAAAGGAAATATCCAGAGAATAATAATAAAAAATCTTGGCATTTTAAGTCTAAAAGGTTAGCAGTACATCCAAAGATAAGAGTTGTAAATAGGATTACAATTTAGGAGTTCTCTGTACAGAAAAATTACTGCGATGGAAATTCCATTTTTTTCTTCTTTCTCAACCCCAACAAACTAACTGTATCTGCCTTGAAACTTATATTGAGAAGGAGTCCAAGTCCATGGCTGGACTGAGCAGGAAAGGCTCCATGGTCAATCAGCAATGTCGATCATTAAATTTGGAGGCAAGAGTGACATTGAGGACCACTCATCTGCCCTCACAAAAGATGGTGCTAAGCTACTTGGGCACGGATGAACACAGAGCCTCAGCTTTTCCCAGAGCTGAGTGTGAGAAGGAACTGAGCAACCCCACAAACAGAGATTTGGCAAGAAATTCAGGCAGGTCCAGAGTCATAGAAACCAAGGGAGGAGAGAAGGCCATAAAGGAGGTTGTGGTGAACACAATCTCATTCTACAAAGTAGTAGGAATGATGAGCCTGAAAACAAGCCCTGGAGTGAACAGTGACAAGTTTCCCATGTGCCTTAGGAAAGACTGTATCATTTCAGGAAGCAATGAAATGGACCCTGTAAAGAATTAGTTTTTATGTACCACACAATTAAAGAATTATGAAGTCACCTCTTATTACTGTATGTCATTAAAAACAGATCATAAGGGGCGCCTGGGTGGCGCAGTCGGTTAAGCGTCCGACTTCAGCCAGGTCACGATCTCGCGGTCCGTGAGTTGGAGCCCCGCGTCAGGCTCTGGGCTGATGGCTCGGAGCCTGGAGCCTGTTTCCGATTCTGTGTCTCCCTCTCTCTCTGCCCCTCCCCCGTTCATGCTCTGTCTCTGTCTGTCCCATAAATAAATAAAAACGTTGAAAAACAAATTAAAAAAAAAAAAAAACAGATCATAAGTTTGGATAACAGAAACCTTAGGGGGAAAAATACTCTAAGGTTTGCTTTTTAAAAATTGAATAAGGGTGTTTTCTAACCTTGTTTTAAAATTATGGTTAAAGCCCCAATGAATGCAATATTAAGATATGGTATTATTATTTTTTATTATAAAAACTAACAAATTTACACTACATTAATACCTTATAGAAGAATTTTCTTAAAGCAGTCACCATTATACAGAATCCGACATGCGTTCTTACTTAATTAGTGCATAAATAGAGTAGGGAGGTTGCTTTAAAGCATGTTTGAATTGTGTGCAAAGTATATAACTACTCCATGCTTTAGTTTTCTCTTCCAGAAATTGTGGACAAAAAGTGAAAAGAAAAGAAAAGAATATGTCTAGGAAGATGTTCAGGTCCGCCATCTGTCTGAATACCATAGGCACCTGGCTAAGAATAAGCCATTTCCAGAAAAGAAGCCCTCATTTCCTCACTGTGATGTTGAGGTGTCTGTTGAGATAACAACATTAAATTAAGAAATGATACTTGCCAGTGTGCTCTGGCCCTTTAACACCACTGACGTCCTGACTCACTAAAGCACCATGGAAACGAGAATAGAACATAGGAACAGCTGGGAGCACCCAAGACACTGGCAGTTGGAAAAGTGATGGAGGACAAGTAGGACCTCGGGGGCAAGTAAAAGCAAGAAGCACTTGAAAAAGGAAAGAAATGTTAAGATGACCTGGAGGGAAGAAAAAGAGATTTGGGAGAAGAGTAAGTTAAAAGTAACACAAGTTATTATTTGATATCCACAACAACAACAACAAAGAGAAGGAAAAAGAGCCATTTCTGATGTTTTTTAGAGTAAAAAAAAAAATCAAAACTAGTTACTTCAAAAATTTACCGTTATTATACAAGAAATAGTATTAACTTTTAGTATACTGGTAAAGATTAAGAAGTTACGACTTAAGAATTTCCCAGATTTTTTTAAATTTCACTGACCAGTAAAATTTATAGAAGAAATTGGGAAATTACCATAAAATACCACTTTTTAAAAATTTGACAAATTAAGGACAATCTATAATTATCATTACATATATGAAATTTTAATGTGATGCCGATGCTATGGTCAGTGACTGTCAGCAGCTTGTGTATAGGTATGTGTATATTCATGTGTGTGATTCAAGAATGGGGGCTGAGAAAAAATGCACTATAAATTGAAGGAGAAAATAGTAATGCAAACAAAAACAGAGTTTAACTTACTCTAAAGTATGTTCTTTCTTCTCCCCACTCCTCAGTGTATTAGAGGGTTTTCCCCTACAATGTGAATGTTAGTTATTTCATTATAATCTTTAAAAAAATCTCTATAATTTGAATCTTGTTTTAACATTCTGTTTTATTTCAAAGTATTGTTGATAACACTGGGAAGGGATTTTGCTATGCATTAGCATTTGACAAATGGGGCAAACTTTATTTACTTGTTTGTTTGTTTGGTCAGAAGAAATAAAAAAAAAGAGTTCATCACTGAAGAGATATCCTGATAATGTAAACATTGTGATAAGCTAAAAACTGGAACCATCTAGAAGAATAAGACCCATCATGTCCTTCTCAGGCCATGCCCAAAAGACCAGCAAAAGGACTTTTCCAATGGAATCTGTTCTAATGCCCCAAGTTCCACGTGGAAATTACTTGCATCTTCAGGAAGAGAAGCAAAGACTACAGCTCAAGAAATTCCTTCTTCATAGGATGTTTCTTGTGGCCAAGATAACAGCAAACACAGAAAAAAAAATTATTGCTGACTACTATGAACAAGTGCTTCAGTCAACTTTAAAACTTCACAAAGGAGAAGCAGTGACAGGGTTTTTGCTCATCTATCCTACTTCTATTCTGCATATTCTTGAGTCCTCCAGTGATACGCTTTACCAAATTCTTTTAGATCATCTTGACCAGAGAAAGAATGATACAGAATTTTTTATCCAAGGGATGAAAATTATAGTTGTGTCCCATAACATCCCGACAAGACTCTTCATGCAATGGCATGTATCAGAAATAAAAGCTCCAGTCATGTATCTTGATGATGTCACACAGACACAGTCCCTAGAAGAGGTCATCACCGAGTTTCTCACCCAGACTCATAAACTGGCAATTCACCTTTTAAAGACTGTGAAAGTGAGTGCTAAAGGACCAGGGGATAACTTGCACCAACTAGCACCTGAATTGCTCATCCCAGAACAAATAATAAAGTACTTGTGCAAATCTGAAGAATTCATGGATCCAGAAGCTTTCCTAAACATGTATAATAAACCCATACATATCACTTTGGATTCTGAGGTGGTATGGCCTGCTCCTTCCCATTTCTAGGACTGAGAGAGATGTGGTTAATGTGGTCCAATCTCTCAAGGAATTGATGCTACTTAAATAAAAAGAAAACACTTCTGAGGGGACTCTTCTCTTGAAAAAAGAAAGGACCATATGCCACAATATACACAAAGGTAATACATGAATCTTTATAGAGTATGTTGAGCTAAACTTGAAAATATACATTATTCTGATAGCAAGTTCAACACATTGTTTTAATAAGTGGATGGGGTTTAATAAGTTAAGGATTGCTCAAAATTTAACATCATCTTGATGAAATGACAATTTTTTGAAGAGAAGTATAGACAATAAAGGATACATTCAGATTCATATTCTCATTCATTCTTTCAACAGTCAATGAGAAGCTGCACCACCCAGAATCAAATTTCAGGAAAAACAATTTTGTTCTTGGAATATAAAATTTAGGGGGGAAATACCATCATTGAGTTGCTTGCAACGTACATTTAGAGGAAAGTATGTGTAAAAGTAAATATGGTACGATATGATATGATCATTATTTTAGTTAGTAGTAAAAGCCTTAAAGGAATAATCTCTATATTATTACTGAACTCAGAAAACAAAGCCTAAACTTTGAAAATAGTTCCAAAGTTCACATATTCTGAACTGTCTAATCAAGAATATTGAGGCCATTACAAAGCTGAACAACAACAAAAACTGAAGAACACAGTAGCTTTTTGAAACAACCAGAAAATACATTGTCAGAAGGCACTACATCTTTCATGCAAAATCATTTTTTGAACACCCTTCATGTGACAGACGTTTGCCAGATGTTAGGGATATGGCAGGGTGCACAGAATGCGTGATTCTTGCCCACTTGCAAAACACTTATAAAGGATTCCACATAAGATACACAAATGATTTTTTTTCCAATTTATGTCCTATAAAGCAACTAATGATATGTAGTTTCTATATGATCTATTTTAAGTTGCTCTCTCCCTTCCCTCACCCAGGATTAATGCTTTTTTGAATATTTAAAATTTTGTAGTTTGTTTAAACAATTAACATCAATATCTTGACAATTTCAGTGATATCTATCCAAAGTTATTTCAATGTCTTATGAAACAGGCTTTGGATTTAGTAGAAGAAATATGGTTGCATCATTTCACTTTTTTATTATTTGATCTTCAGGCTCTTCAAGGGAAAAAGAGCAATCTCAAAATACACCTCAGATTTGTCATATGCAGATAATTTGTCATCACTTGTTCCATATAAGAATCAAAATTCAGGAAAGACTTTCTATATTTAAATTCTGTAATATAGATTTAGACACAGAATGGCATATTTCACCGTTAGCCGAACTCGAAGTTCTGTTCATTTAAATTTAGTAACTGAAAGGGTACATTCTAGATAAAATGTGAAGTAATTCTTCTGGTTAAGAAAGATTAATAACATACAAACATTTTATCAGTTTAGTAAATATTAAACACCTAATGTTTGTCAGCAATGTGCTACTTACTCTTTGAAATGTGAAAAAGACCCAAGCATCCACTCATTGAGAGCAAATGTTCAGCAACAAAATGAGTGGAGATAGAAGTAAATGTTCTCCAGGCCAAAACAAAACAAAACAAACAAACGAAAACAAAAACATAGAGAAAAAACTTGGTAAAGAAGTAAGCCGTGGTCTAGGCTTGTGGATGTGAGGAGAGGTTGGGGAGGGCAGATGAGAACAGAGAATAAGCAGAAACAGGAAGGAGAAAATGAACCCTAAATGTTCATTGGATCAGGCAGAATTCCTTCAGCAAGGTAAATTATGCTTGTTTGGGAAGAGTACTTGTTTAAAGTTTAAAGTGAATAGAAGAGCAGTTTACAAATAAAGTTACGTATTTCACTTTTATTGGTCAATAATACTTTCTGATATGAAAAATATCAAGTGAAAATTAATTTATTAAGACAAAGACATTAAAAATCTGAGTCATTTTGGGGCTCCTGGGTGGCGCAGTCGGTTGAGCGTCCGACTTCAGCCAGGTCACGATCTCGCGGTCCGGGAGTTCGAGCCCCGCGTCAGGCTCTGGGCTGATGGCTCAGAGCCTGGAGCCTGTTTCCGATTCTGTGTCTCCCTCTCTCTCTGCCCCTCCCCCGTTCATGCTCTGTCTCTCTGTGTCACAAAAATAGATAAACGTTGAAAAAAAAATTAAAAAAAAAAATCTGAGTCATTTTTAGAGGAAGTTATAGAAACTATCTCAGTGGTAATACTATTAATTTACTTAGTATACTGTTATTTTACAGTTAAAGGATTTAAAGTGTCAATCATGAAAGTAACTGGAAAATAAGCACAAAGCAAGTTAAATAAATTACTTATATACTTATTTATCTTTTTTAGTGAGCACACCAGAATGAATTTATTCGAATGGAAGTTATCCATCCTAGTAGTAACCACATCAGGAGGGCTTATACTTGTTTCTGTCACAACATCACTGCTGAAAACATTTAGTGACTTTTAAGTGACAGATGAGTTAAGAAGGTTTATAAATCAAAGGGAGCGTAAAGAGTTTAGCTACCGCTAGTTTTTTGATTCCCAAATAACATATACTCCAACTTGACTGGTGACCTTAATATTCAGTCTTCATTCATAAAAACTTTTTTTTTTAAATATTGCACTCACTCTCAAAGGAAATCTGCTATCATGAAACCTATTAAAAGAACGTGACACTGTCTATAAGGGAGAACACAAATATGTTTTCAGTAACTGTTGCATTATTGAGATTCCTATATAGCTCACTAATATCACGTCTTTAAAAGGAAGACACCCATGTACTATATGTTTGGGTATATTTGATAAAATGCTGAAATATTCAGACCTTATGAATGTAATTTAATTTGACCAAGTAAAAAAATGTGACTTATTAAACTTTAGGACAACTCATAAGGTAATTCTCAGTCCAATGAGAGTTATAGTTTCCTTACAGTAAAATTTTCCATAAAACTAGAGTCCAGAAAGAAGTTAACCGAAACAGAAAATGAGTATTTTAATACTGAGCATGTACCATTCAATGTTCTTATAACAACGAACATAGGACATACTATATATATGTGTGTGTGTATATATATATATATGTGTGTGTGTGTCTGTGTATATATATATGTATATATATACATATTCAATAAGCATGTGACATTTAAACTGATGTGGCCTGTGCCATTCTAATTCTTTTATTTTGATATGGATATCTTTACAGTAAACAGACATGCCAATGCTCTTATGTTCGTTTCAGAGTAACCAAGGGCTTTCGGGAAGGTTATAGTTTTCATGAAGGTTAACTAAAATAATGTTATTTGGAAGGAAAAATCCTCCCAGGGTGAATTTAAAATTTTTACTGTCTTCATTTTAATTAAAGAGGCATCTGGATTCCTTCATGGAGAATTATTGTTTGATACAAATAGATTTTTACATTCAGGGACTTTATCGTAACTTTAGTGACACAAAACCACATTTCAATTCAGTTATTCCCACAATTCAATTCAGAATTCCCCCAACTTCCATGAGGAAGTAGAAATGAGACAGCCCATCACCAACTCTGAGATTATTTCATAGTGGAGAAAATGACTTAATATAGAATTAGAGTTCTCCCCCTTGTGGCCAATTATGTAAATTTCCAGATTACCTGCTGATGGGATTTAAGCAATAAACAGCACATAGTTGTTCAGAAAATATAAAGGGAACCCTCAAAGGCAATTTTCAAATGTCTGCTCTACTCTACTTGTTTGGCAGATAAAGATTCTGAGCCCCAAAGACATGAAGCGCTTGCACGCAGTGAAAGGAGGAATTGATAACACAAGTGTCCTATTTCCACTTCACTAATTTACATAATTAGCTGTGGTCACAGTTAGTTTGGGGGGTCTGGATTTAATTCTGAGTGGTCTCTTCACTGCTGCACATTACCCTTCCTGTGCTCCAGCCCTCACTCACATACTGCCTTCTCCAGATGTCCCACTGCATTTCCACAGGCGTCTCTATCTCCATAAGCTCTAGATGGAACGCATCCTTCCCTGCCACCACACTTCCTTTGATTTCCCTCCCCCAGCTGCACTCTCTGTTGCTATAAAATGGACGACTCTCCACACAGTTGCCAAGTCAGAAACTTGAACTTCAGCCTAATTACCCTTCCTCCTTTTCATCAGTGACAGCCAATTAGTGCAAGCCCTACCCACCCTCTTTCCACAGAAAGTATTTCTAGTGTCTGGCCTTGTCTTTGGGCTCTCCTTTGGGATCTCCCTCACTCCAGTCTCCTCTTCCTCCTCTTTCTCTTGCTAGTCCATATAATATTTCCATCGATGTTAAAAGAAGCGTAGCACAAATTTAAGAGAGCCACCTCTGGTATCAAATTGCTGTGTTGAACTAGCTCCAGAACTTGAAGTGCTGTAATTTGCTGCTTCACCTTTCAACACCTCAGACTCCTCACCTATAAAATGAGGGTGATAACAGTACCTACATTATAAGATTGATTAGGGGTATGTTGCATGAAATAATGGTATAATAATTGTGCATGTAGTAAGCATTCAATAAATGTCATTCCTCCAATCAAAATTCTTCAATGACTTCCATTTCACCTCCAGGATAAAATGCAAAATTCTATCATGATCTGCAAAGCTTGGATTCCCAATATTCCGCCTCTCTGTCTTCATCTTCTTTCTTTACTTCTCTTAGCAAAATTCTGCTTATTGATCAAATTATATTTCCTCTGTGAAGCCTGGCAAACTCGAGAAACCCTCATTGTAAACTTGGACTAAGAATACCTTCTGGAAGTGATTCAGTGGAACTTTTGTATTTATATGTTACTATTCACTGAGCCAAGAATAGGAACTCATTCCAATTCATTGGATTAAAAATAAAAATACTCCTTCCTGTTGAAGCATCTGAGCAAGCTACTAGTAAGGTATATAACCTTCATTTCATATTTTAAAGCTGTTTTCTTTATGTTCTTCGAGGCCTTGTTTCAGTAGCCACACTTACCTGTTCTTTGAGAGATACATGCTTGAGAAAG